AATTCAGATTACTAGCCTAAAAGATGGGGAGGATGGTGATGGATTTATAGCGGTAAAGGAGGGTGGAAAGCAGAGAAACCTTGCAAGTGAAAAATGAGAAGCTCGGGTTTAGTCATGTTCAGTTTAAGATCCTGACAAGACATCCAAGAGTGGGATGTCACAGAGACAGGAAAAGACATGGGATTGGACAGAAGGAGACAGATCAGTGGTGGAGAGAACTTTATGAGTCATCAGCATAGAGATGATCATTGAAACTATGTAAGCAGTTGCAGCTGTCCAGAGACAGAAGTGAAAAGACATGGGGGGGGGGGGCACAGAGATGGAACCTGGGGACACCCTCAGAGTGCAACAGAGAAGAGGAGGAGGAGGCAGCAAAAACAGACACCCAAAAGAGTTGGAGGGACAGGAGAACCCCGAGAGGACAGTATCTCAAAAGCCTAGCCTGAGCAAGACGTGAAGAAGGAGAGGATAACTGACAGGCTCACAAGCAGCAGAGGCCAAAGAGGATGAGGATGGCGCAGAGCCCCTGAGATTGGACCAGGAGAAATGAAAGAGAAAAATATGTACATCTGAAATTTGAGTGTAATTCAGAGACTCTCAGCCTGGAAGGGTAAGTGAAGGATGCACCTGTAACAGTGCATATGGTAATCCCCTGTGATCGGTGCAGCCACAAGGTCAGCGACCCCTTGTCCCCCCAAGAGGCAGCACACACAGTGCTAAAAACGCCTCTTCCAAAATAGGAAGAAATAAAATGAAGTGCAGCGAGGAACTAAAAATTACATTTAAAAGATTAACTACAGTTAAAGAACAAGAATAAACCCCTGCAAATGTATAAGATTCTGAGAGAGCCAATTATTTCCTCTATTACAAATTATTTTCCTTATAAGTAGTCAGTACTGCAGTCAGGTCACCAAGGTGGCAGATTGCTGTACTGTACTCTAGAGGAACGCTGCATATGGTTATTAATACTGGGACATTCTGCCATTGGCTACATGTGCCTGGCTTCCACTGACTACAAGGTGAACTGTGTATACACAGTGAAGAGTCCAATTTGGCCCATTATTTCTATTGCTCTGATACTTGGCAATGATAGTATGACGGTGTATGCAATGACACACATCACCCTGTGTTTAGCCAGGCTGAATAGGAACTAAGTTAGAAAGTAAAGATATTTTTGCACCTCCTGGAAACAGACTAACAGGAACAAAACTGAGACTAAATGAAAATGGCCATGTCGCTTTAAACCTCAAATGTTCCATTTGGGGTAATCTCTAGTCAGTCATTCTCCCAATTCCTCCCCCCCCCCCCGTTTCACTAGCTATTGATGGGAGTGTAAGAAACTTGGTGTAATCCTCCCACATTCCCTACCCAGAGAGCAAGGTAAAACCAAGTAGGTCAAAAAGAAAATGGATTTATGCCTCCGAGGGTTACATTATTACATTAGGGCTTATGCAAAGTATTGAAAGCCTTTGCAAGACACAGACATCCAAGTGTTCTATTAGGAAGCTTTCCAACTGGACCCTTTCAAATAATCCCTTACCAAGCAGGGTGAAAGCATGTCTGGTTTTGTCAAAATCATCAGCATCATCAACTCCATCGATAGTTGTGTCGCCTCCCATAGAAGTGTAGAAAAAGTCTTCAGCACATGCTAGGAGAAGAGCAAACACAGAATAAATGGAGGCACATCACCTGCTACTTACATTTAGTTGTACTTACTTTAGAACACTCCCCATGTAGCCGCCCCAGCCGCCCACCTTAGAAGGCAGATGGTCTCCTTAAAACAAAGTTCTGCTCTAAAAAGTGACTATGTAAAAATAGTCTGTGCACACAATCAGATCTGCTTGTTTTAGCAATAAAAACATTGTGCTTTCTATTCCAGATATTTCTGTAGTGCCAACTCGACAGAGAGGAGGAGCTGGATTCTGTTCTTTCTTGTATATTAACAAAATTGTTCTCAAAGTTCCGAGTAGTTACACCTGTACAAACCCACAGTGGAAGTTACACATGTGTCACAGAGGGCTGAATTTTGGTCAGTAGAACATTTCTGCCAGAGACGGTCATGGAAGGAAAGACCCACTTTGACTCAGACCCCAAAGTTTATGTGAGTTTGAGTATGTATGTCTGGCAGTTAGGGGGAAAAAGTTTTTGCTTGTAAGCAAATTGCGTTTGATACAGAAATCAATGGGATCCAAACCTGGAACTCCATGTTGCCCGTTTGAAGAGTTATTTTTCAGCATAAAACTAATTCCACTTTTATTGAAGTGTGAACAGTTTGGCACAATGTAGCGTGGATTTACTGTCTGTTCACGGGAGACAATATCAATTACATTGCACAGAATTTATCGTCTCTGCCTGAACCTACATAATGTGTATATTTAAAGCTTCCCATCTCTACGATTAGTTCAGCTCTTCTGCTTGATTAACTAGTCATTTGACAAGCTCATCTTTGGGACAACGAGCAGGAACTCGGGGTTTTTAAGTGAGATAGCTGTATTTTAAACATGAGTGAGCATTTTAATACTTATCCTATACTGTGCTTCTTGATATATTATTGGCTGCGTACTGAAATGCAGGGACACCCAAGCAAATGTTGGCAAACACAGTCACACTATTCAATGCAGTGAACTTTGTGGAACTGTCTATATTTTAATGCAACTTTGCCAGGTCCTCCATGTGCAGGATCCCTATTGAAGTCTATAGGAGTTCAGCACATGGATGGATAAAATGACTGGAACAGAGGTAACTAGATCTGTGTAAAACTGAACAGAATGCCAAACAAAGTGTAACTTCCCTGAATTGGTGGTTTTATTACAGGAATAAAAGTCAAGCTAGGTGTACCAAGTAGTTTGCTGAGGTTTGCCCCAATTTTTTCCCAGCCTAAGTGGAGTTTTGAGCAAACTCAGGACTGAATTTTGGGTGGAAACCATGTGAGAAATAAGAACAGGAGTACTTGTGGCACCTTAGAGACTAACAAATTTATTTGAGCATAAGCTTTCGTGGGCTACAGCCCACGCTCAAATAAATTTGTTAGTCTCTAAGGCAGGGGTCGGCAACCTTTCAGAAGTGGTGTGCCGAGTCTTCATTTATTCACGCTAATTTAAGGTTTCGTGTGCCAGTAATACATTTTAACGTTTTTAGAAGGTCTTTCTATATGTCTATAATATATAACTAAACTATTGTTGTATGTAAAGTAAATAAGGTTTTTAAAACGTTTAAGAAGCTTCATTTAAAATTAAATTAAAATGCAGTGCCCCCCGGACCAGTGGCCAGGACCCGGGCAGCGTGAGTGCCACTGAAAATCAGCTCACGTGCCGCCTTTGGCACACGTGCCATAGGTTGCCTACCCCTGCTCTAAGGTGCCACAAGTACTCCTGTTCTTTTTGCGGATACAGATCAACACGGCTGCTACTCTGAAACATGTGAGAAATGTGCTAGTTTCACATCATTTTGACTTGAGACCAGACAAGTCTCGGTTAGTTTCATAAGGAGGGTTTGAATTGTTTCAAATACAAAGTCAATGTAAACCCACATGAGCAGAAAGCAAAAAATGGTTCTCATGAACCCTGGCAATCTGAAGCTGTGGAATTTCAAGCTCTTCCAATGGAAGCACTATCACTAGAAGGTACAGATCCCAAAAAGAGTTAAAACTTGTGGGAAATGGCAAATCTCTTGCAAATTTCAGTGGCAACAGAAAAGACTCCTGTATTATTGCTCAATATAGACATTTACAACAAACTAGAAGAATTCAAGGCACAGGCAAAGAGCCATAAATGCACTTTATTAATTTCTCTGAGTGAGCCAAGCCTTGCTAGAAAATTAAAGCTAAAAGGGAAACTCTTGTGCAGCCACATCTTTCGAGACTCTTAAAGGCTGCTGGGTAACAGTATGGAAAGAACTGCCTGGCTGCTTAGCTGGCATTCCAATTTTAAATGTGATAAGAGGGGCTTGCCAAGCAGAGCTTGGAAAGATATTAGACATGTAAATACATTACTATAGTATTACGAAACAATGGGGAAAACAGCCTACTGTGCAGATGGGTACAATTCCATTTTGGGCTGCCAATGACTTAAAAACTCCTCAATAACGCCACCTGAATGTCTCCACTCATTCATAACCTTCCCATGTGCATTTGGTCAGGTGTATGTTCAGGTTGGGAGTATAGACAACATTAACACTTCTTAAACATATACTCCAGTGGGTCCCACAGGTATCACTAACCAAACTCGCAGGTCTGTGGTCTAACACAGGAAACATCTATTTGGAGTTAGTCAGTCAAGCCCCCTGCCAGGTCAGGATTGTTTCCTACATTATTGATCGTTTGTCCAGCCTAGTTTTAAATATCCCAAATAATGGAGTGTCCAAGAACTTCCTTTGGGAGGGACTCCACAGTTTAACAGATCTCATTTATGTTAATAGGTTATTTTTATTTTAACCAAATTTTCCCTTTCCTAAATTTCATCCCATTACTCAGATATAGAACCATGTAAACAATAAGTGACAGAGACATCATTTGTTTTCTGGAATCCTGATGGGCGGGGCGAGAGGGGGGGAAAACGTCACTGGAAATAAACAAGATCAGTTCTTTGATCCCCATTATAAGCCTTTATTCTACAGGTGTTACAGCAGGAATCAATGTTTCCCTTCAGTGTAATCCCAGTAGCCTCAATGAAATTACACCAGAGTTTAATCTGGACCATTATGCTAAACTAATCATTTGGTTGAGTATCTGTTTCATTTGGTCACTTGGCCAAATGACCAGAACTGCCAGGTATTTGGCCAGGTAACTGAAATTATGAACCTTGAAAATTATTTATTGCGTACAATACACCACACAAGGTGCACTGTGCTCACAGACAATACAAATAACAGCTCTGTGCTCCAATGATCTTAACGATTTAACTTTGATAGAGCACAGCGAAGGGTGTGTAAGAGGAAGGCAACCTCTAGGAACCTGAATGCAGAGGCACAGTAAATGTGCTGAGTCATCTTGTATGTATGAAATGCAGCGTAATAACTGCTTAGTCACATAGCAGATGGATTCATTTAGGCTTGTTGCTTAGATTGAAAATAAGAGCAAATCTCAGGCAGGTAGCAAGTCTGAAAACCTACCATTGCAATAAAGGACACAGAGATCAGCATGGGGATCTCACGTGGTTATGTGCCCTACCCAAGTTTACTCAGTATCAAAACTATAGCTTGATTAAAATAAGGTGACTATATATACTTGTAACTAATTTGATACAGAACTATGTATACAGTGCCTTAACCACGCTGTGGCACAACAATCTGCTGGGTGGACAGAGGAGTTATCCATTTGCCTTTTAATTTAGGATGTAAGCACCACAGAGCAGGGACTGTATCTACCTCTGTAAGCTGTTTAGCACAAGAGATATTGTAATATGGGGTGCTTCCTCTTTTTCCCCATTCTGGAGAAAGCTGGCCAGGTTAAGGTTTGTAGACCAAAAAAACTCCTGAAACGCTGGCTGTTTTTCATCTTCATCTTTCTTTTAAGATCGTGTGTATCAGGCTGACATTTGCATTTTTAAAAATAAACCTCTTGAGGAAGCCACTTTGATACTCATTTAAAACATGCACAACAATTTTAACAATTGCAAACCCCTCTGATTCACTACTATGTTACTGCCTTGTGCTTGTGTGTTAGCACCGTTGATTATTTTGATTAATTATTTTCAGGAAGCGCATTGCGTAGCACTTGGAAACAGTCCAGTTTAGATATAAACTGAAGCAATTCTAGACTTAATCGATGCGTTTCTTTTCCCAGATAAAATGAAACATTTAAACCCAGATCCTGCACTTGCCCCACATGCAGAATTATCTCAGATTTCAATGGGAATTTAACAGACAATGTGGGTGAGGGATGGGACCCTTACTTGATCACCCTCTACAGATCTACAATTGGCTCAAAGCTGGTTAAGTCAGAGATAGAAATAAGTTAACTGTCTTATCCCATGAACATCATGCCTGTTGGCACAACTGGCAGTGGGTACTGGAGAAAGGCACAGGAATAAAATTGCAAGGGTGCTGCAAATCAGCCCTGAGACTCATTAACAGGGCTGTGTGTGGGAAGGATTGCACAGCACTTAAGCAAACAGTGCCTGGCAATACCTATAATTAGAACTAGGAAAAAAATTAAAAAATTTAGACAACATTTGTGAACAATGATTGGTGATTTTCAGCCAGCTAGGACAGTGGTTGAAATATTCTGAAAATTCAAAATGTTGAGCCAAAATAAAATAAAATAACCCATGTGGTTAGTGCCATGTCATTCTCTCAGAAGCACCGGCTCCTCTCTCCCCTCAAGCTAAGGACTAATATGAAAACGTGTAACATACACATTTTCTTTACTTCTTTTCTGGGGTTAAATAAAGTTTCAAGTTCCTTTTGTTTTTAATATTTGCCACGAAATACAGTAGATTCCATTTAATAGCAACCCTGATAATAGCAACTTCTGGTTAATGGAAACATATTGCCAGGAACCAATCCTGTCCCGTCAAGACCAGTGTTAATGGGATTCAGGTCGTAGCAACAGGCATGCCGCTAATGGAAACTTTTTTGATTTAAGAGAGAAGGTCCTCTGAGCATGTGTAGCTGACCACTTCCACTGTGTGCCATGGCTTCCAATCAGTG